CTTCTTAATCATCTTCGAAGCCTTAAGGTAGGAAACAAACCTACCTTTCGGCACCACACCATTCCCCTTCCACTCAATAACCGGCTCATTAGGGAACTCTAGTCTCATGACCCTCGTTCGGCAGTCAAGTTTAGCAAAGCACGAATAAAGCCAGTCCATTCCCATAATCACATCAAAATCCACCATTCCAAGCTCGATAAGATCGTTCGTGGTAACACGACCACATACCGTGATTATACAATTCCTATAAACTCACGCGGCTGTGATAGAATCACCAACCGGAGTCGATACGGAGAACGGCTCATGAAGCTGTTCGGGTCCTATCCCAAAACTTGAAGCAATGAATGGGGTGACATAAGACAAAGAGGACCCCAGATCAGTAAGAGCACAACAATCAATGGCCTGAACAGACAAGATACCTGTAACCACATCTGGAAAAGCCTCTGCACTCTGGCGACCACTCAAAAAATAAAACCGGTTGGGTCGACCTCTACCACGAGCTCCACCCCTAACTGCACCATGCCCTGCTGGGGTTGGAGGACGCACGAATGATGTGGCGGCTGAAGAACCGAATGACCGAGTAAATCCCCTACCCATGTCCTGACTGGGCGCACGACAGTCCCGCTGGATATGACCTCTCACACTGCATCTATAACACACCGGGATATCCAAATAACATGTCTCCGAATGGAACCTCCCACACTTGGGGCATGGAGCCCTCCCCTGCTGCAGTGATCTCCCTCCTGGATGACCGGACTGATGGGGTCTCCTATTGTCTGAACCTCGTCACAAGTGACTGCTCTACTGATAACTGTGCGCAGATGGCGGTGCACTCATTGAAGAATGAGCACATGACTGGGATGGCCCTGATGACCCTCCCCCTGAACCGCTCTCCCTGAATGACCCACTGATCGAGCCCTGGTGCCATTCTCCCTTTCCGCCCGTATCTTCAACATTCTAGCCTCTTTGGCCTGAGCGAATCCCACAATCTTTCCATAATTCATATCCGAGTGTAAGGCCGCTGTAGCAGCCTCATTCACCACCAAAGGACTAAGGCCCTGAACGAATCGCCGAACTCGAGCATCCATGGTCGACACTAACTGAGGAGCATACTTGGAAAATCTCACAAACTCCATGTGGTAGTCCCAAACACTCCTACTGCCCTGCATGAGGACCTCAAACTCAGTGGCACGGGCTGCCATTGTCTCGGCAGACAAGAAGTGGTCCATAAATGCATCTACAAACTCATCCCATCTAGCCGGAGGTCTTCCCTCCCCATGGGAATCCTCCCACATCTCGAACCACGAATATGCTGCTCCCCTCAGCCTGTATGAAGCCAACTCAACTCCCTCCGTCTATGTAGCCTTCATCACTCGAAGGGTCTTATACATCTCATCAAGGAAATCCTATGGATCGGCCTCTGGGTCTGTGCCTGAGAACTCTAGAGGGGCTAACCACAGAAACTGGTTGACTCTGGAGCTGGCGGAATATCCCTGTCCGCGGAGGACGCAGGGGCATCATGAGATCTCTGAGTCTGAGCGTCCACTAACTGGGTCAAGATATGGATGGCTCCCCTAAGGTCCCCATCAGAAACCCCAGGACCGGAAGCTGGAACTGCATCAGGATCAGGAATATCGGCGGAAGGGATGGTAGCACCCTCTGCCGCAGCAGGAACAAGAATACTTTGATCTGGAATAGGTGGGTTAGGTAGATTCAAGACCCGGGAGTCACTCTCACCCACAGCATCAGGTACATGATTCATAGCCACACTTGGGGTGGCATTGGCCCCAAGGCCGAGTCTAGCTCTCTTCTTAGGTGCCATTACTGAAAATTTTGGAACAGAGCACAAGTTAGACATAGATACTTTCACCTTTCACTTCACCGCACGATATAGAATAACAAAGAAAAGGGTAATTTCCTAAATGTCCATGTAGCCCCCTACTTATAGATGTGGTCGACAACACACCGATAAGAAGGGCTCTACTAGACACGGCTCCGAGACATCCTAGAACTCTTTTAAAACCTTAGGCTCTGATACCATGTTTGTCACGCCCCAAAGCCGAGAGGCGCGACCGGCACTCGACCGGGTAGCCCCAGTCGAGCGAACCTGGGTGCCTTTCCTATCCCACGTGTTACCCCGTGTTTTCATTACTCATTAATCAAAGGAAATAGCCATTTATGATTTAAACACCTTTTTACAAAATATCCATATTATACATGGTTACTTAGCGTGGTTTACAAGTTACATCGCCCAACATACAAAGTACATATTTACATAAGTTCATAATTACTACCCAAACTTATTTAGGTTGTCAACCCCTCTTTTGCAAACCATTACTTCTACCCAATTCCTCTTACTAGATTTTAGGTTTTAAAAGACATGCATGTGTATTTAAACTTCCATTTTCAAGAATCAATGCATGAGAATCCCCCTTTTTGTCTAAATTTAAAAGCAAATGAAAAATGGTTGGGGATTTTTACCTGCAAGAACGAAGATGAAGACAATTACTTGAAATTTCCCCGGCCCGGGTGATTTTGAAGAATCAAATCGATGAAGGTAGGACCTTCTCTCTCAAGAAATCTCTCTTCCCTCTCTCTAGTTTGTTCAGAAAATATGTTAAAATGAGGGGTTGGGGTGTTTTATTGAAGAAGTGTTCGGGTTTAAAAATTAGAATAATAGGAGCCCGAGTCCGGTTTGCGGTTGCAATTTGCAATCGCAAAGTGGAAATGCAGTCCGCAGAATGGACCGCAAAAGTGCTCCGAAACTCTGAACATTTTGTTTGGGTTTGCGGCAGAAATGCGGTCCGCATACTCGTTCTGTGGTCGCATAATTCACCGCATAACTGCCCTTTACAAAATCTCAAGACGATTATGCGACAACTATGCGGTCCACATATCAGTTATGCGATCGCATAATGGACCGCAATTTTGACCTCAAATTTGACTAACATACAAAATCACTTTGCGGTAGAAGTGCGGTCCGCATACTTGATTTGCGACCGCATTTTGGACCGCATAATAGCACTTTTTATGAAAACTTTGATTCTTGACTTTTAAATGCTTAGATCGATACAAAGGTTCCGAACTGCGGCGAGCTTTTTACACATTCCTAACACATATTCATAACATGGCACTACGAGTTCTAAGTTTTAAGCACAAGTTTTCACGGGGCCTTACATGAATGCTATGGTGAAAGAAGAACTACTCAAACACTTAGCTCAAAGAACACCACCTCAGATAGAGTTTTTGAAAAGAAGAAAAGGACTCTTGAAAATTTGGGCTAAGTCAATATTAATTGATGAAGGGTTAGCAAACATCTTGACCAAAGTTTCTGACTCAAGTGAGGATATCTGGGTATAACTGTCATGTTCTCAACAATGGGAAGGTTCAGCCTTGAAAATCTGATGATAGAAGAGATGGAGGAATCCTCCTGACATACTCATCTCAAAAGAGAATAGAAAAAACTAATCAAGGTAGAGAATAACCATTGATTCCATCTAGGAACCATGTCTCGTGTCTACAACAACATAAGCAGAAAAACAAGTTGTTGGAAAGAGGGCTTTTGCATAGAGACATCACTAAATCACTCATGTATCTCACTGCAAGTAGACTAGACATCGTGGTCAGAGATGAGTTCTGTGCAAGGTCTCAGTCAAATCCAAGGTATTCTCCTCTGAAGGATGGTGTAAGCATCTTGAGGTATCCTAGTAGAACACAGAACCTAGTTCTCTACTATCGTCCAAGTAAATGGATAGGAAAAGCTCGCTGAAGTGGGGCAGTCACTGAGTTCCTATCTTGTCTCATAAGGTTCAAGGAAGCAGAATTTAATGGCACTCTTAACAGCTGAAGCAGAATATGTATAATCAGCATCCTGTTGTGGTCAAGTACTATGGACCGAGCAACAAAGTGTTATAGACCAAGCAACGGATTCGAAGAACTTGAGTCCAACTCAAGAAGGCTTAATACAGTGATTGCTGAAGATCAAGTTGTAGACATCTTCACGAAAAGCCTTGGGAAGAAAGCATTATGAGAAAGATCACCTTGCACGGGGGGATGATGAACCACAACTGAGAACCTGGTTCATCATTATTGGTTATGAAAGTCATAGTCAGGTAAAAGCTAGCTAAAGTGATTTCTAGCTAAGTCTAACTAACCTCTATACCGTTACAGGTAGACAAGCATGATGACTACAAGAGTAGATGTTGCAGTGCATGAAGAATAAGGGGATAAAACTCACTTGCCAGACCTATTAGGGAACCTAGTTCTCTAACGCAGGTTAGTGGTTTCTTTGTTCTTTCATACACAATTTAAAATGAACAAAAAACAATGCCACATCATCACTGGCGTGAAAATATCTTTTAAGTTATGTCTCTTCATCCAATACGTCACAGCCAAAATGTTACTCCTTTCTCTAAACGATACATCTCCCAAGTAAAAGGATGTCGTCGTTTCAGAATGAGTCCCTAATCGCAATTAAATCAACATCACAACCTTTTATCTTCCAAACTCAAAATTCTCTTCTCTCTTCTCGAATCCACAGTCCCTCGAGAATAATCTCATCATCTCTGAAACACAAGCAACCGTTAGTATGCCTGATAACACTGTGATTGAGTCCTCACCAATGAGAAGTTCAGCGGTGAAACTCTTTCCAAACCCTAAGGAAGAGTCTCCTCCACACTCTACTCCCTTTCCTACCCTCTCCGAGTCCACTCCTCCTCTAAGAAAGTATGAAGATGTCTGTCCTCCTTCAGTCTCACCAGTCAAACAGAGTCAACAAGGTGAACATGAATCTCGTTCAGGAACCTTCTACTCTATCCATGGCTGAGCACAAGTGATAACTCTAAAGGCATCACTCATTTGTCTGTTGAAATCGCCATGGAACCAAATGAGAAAGATGAAATACATAATACGTTATTCATTGCGTCAGAAGGGGTCATTATAGAAAAATATGGAGGAGGGTCTGAGCCATAGGGGAAGATATAGAAGAATAGGGAGCAATTATGCCATTTGAACAGCCGGCACAAGATGATTCTACTGGGGCCCCAAATAATGAATCTGATCCCTCCATGGAGAATCCAGGAGTCATACTCCCAGGTCGTGTTGATACCGCCCCCTATTCCCACTTCGATGCTGAGTCTTTGAATATGGTGGTGCCTAAGACAAATCCTGAAAGTGAAGAAGAGCCAAATGATTTGGTGTATGCTAGTTTCATTATGGATAGGACTAAGCCAGTGGTAAGTTTAGAGCCACCTCCTAAGAGACCTACTACTTGGTTGCAACAAAATAAGGCTCTAGAAATTGCCCTCAAGAAGAGTAAAAATAGTAGAAGAAGGAGAAGATTGGTCAAAGATGGAAATGTTGTACAAGTAGAGGATGTTCCTGTAGTGGATGTGGATGAGGAAACCAAAAAGGAACCTAGTTCCCTGTCCCGCAAGTCTTCAAGCAAGAAGCACTCTCTCTCTCTCTCTCTCAATGCGAAAAGCACACCTCTAAGAGTGCTGAGAGTTCTTCCAAGAGTGACGTTGTTGGTTCCAGTAAAAAGTTGGCAAGAAGTTCTGGTTACGAGACAGTGAAGGAGGGTGGTGACAAGTCTGATGAGGAAGAATTGGAGAAATCTAGTGAACATAGAGAGAGCAAGTCAGTGGAGAAGGAAAAGTTTGTCGGCAAGTCAGTGAAAAGAAAGTGGGATGATGATGATGATAATATGGAACCTCGTTCCGTCAAGAAAGGAAAAGTGAGTGAAACTCTGAGGTCTGAGAAAAGGAAGTTGGAGAATCAGAAAGTGCTGTGTGGCCGCACATTTGCCTCTGACATTCTAGAGAGTGCTGGGATGAGACAATTAGTGGATATTTTTAATGCTCAACAATGGACCAATTTGTTTACAAGTGAGGCTGCTATAGTGTATAAGGACGAGGTGCGGAGTTTCTACACCAGCCTCTTCACAGTTGATGGTGATCAAATCTGTGTGTTGGTAAATGGGGTGGACATAGTGATGGACTGCCTTATTGGGGTCAATTCTGGGTGTTCCTACCGAAGGAGTGTCATCTGCTCAGGGTGCTTGCACACCAAACTTCAGAAATGCCATTTTCAAGGACAAGGCAGTACAACATGGGGAACATGTGCATAAGAATGCACTCTTTCCAGTTTATCAGCTACTTTTTGAGATGGTTAACAAAGTATTTCTTCCCCGCGCCGAAAGAAAATCTATTGAATCCAAAGCTGACCTATTCCTTACGGAGACTTTGGAAAATTTCTCCTCCATCAATTTGCCTGCCATAATGATTGAGCATATGCAGAAGGTAGGGAACCTCAAAGACGGGAGCCCTGGACTACCTTATGGTTTCTTTCTCACAAAGGTCTTTGAGTTTTTCAAAGTACCTCTAGGTCAGGCCAAAGTGGGCACGAAAAAGCAATCTTTTTCGAGAACTACTCTGAAGGAGTGTGAGTGTATTGACAAATTCGGAGGAGTTGGAAGTACTTCCACAATCTCTCAACTGATAAATGCTCAGAATAATACCACAGAGGAGATCCGAAAGTTGAAGGCTAGGAAAATGATTCTTGAGAATCAGCTCAGTCAGTTGCAAGAGGTACCTGGTTCCAGTGGTTCTCACAGCGCAATGGTTGCACGCCTATCAAAGGAGAACGCTGATCTAAGGAAACATGTGGAGGACCTGAAAGAAAGACTGCTCAATGAGCAATTGTCCATGAATGCTCGCATGGATCTTGTCCTCCAAACTCTTGCTTCCTCTTCCTAGCCCCCTTCCTCCAGTGTCCCTTAATGAATGTCCCCTTAGTGTCCAGTTTCCAGTGTCTATCTTTTTATGTTGTTGTTGGTGATGTTTTGTTATTTCTGGTATATGCTTTTGTTTGTTCAAGACTGTGGATGAAAAACTATGACTCTGCTTCTGCCTGTGATAGTCCAAAACTGGTTAATGGAAGTAGTTTCCCTTTTGCTATCTATGTTGCTACTCTTTTACTTCTGTCTTTTATCATGTTTGAGCACATAAGTCACATGGGTTAACTATGCTAGACTTCTTTATACTGCTAACATATTATGTCCCTTTTATGATGAAAAAAGGGGAAAGATGATTTAATTGAATAAACAAAATACAGATTGGGGGGAACCTCGTTTAGGGGGAACTCACAAAAGTTCAGGTACTGACAAAAGCGAGAAGGCATAGTTTCTGGGGGAACTTAAGGTCCTTCTGGTTCACAATCTTGTTCTTTTGTGGCTCCTTCTAGGATTTTCAATTTAAAGTTTGTCATCATCAAAAAGGGGGAAATTGATAGGTTACATGTACTTTGGTTATAAGTACTTTACTTATGTCTTGATGATCTAACAAACTTACTATCCAGAACCATATAAGAAACCTGTTACACATTTACAAAACCTAAAGTTCACAAGATTCCAGGTTGGGACTCAGTGTGGAATATGATTCAACTCCTCGGAGTGGAAGAAACAGATGAGGGACCTGGTCCCTACCAGTTCCCGAGGAGACTGTACGAAGTCAACTCTGCAGCTGGAAAGTTGTTGCCTGCACACGCTACTGTGCAGAACAGTACTCCAGTCAACTTTCTAGAGAAGACTACTTACCTACCTTGCTTGCATCATTGGAAATGATGTCACACATGTATATATGCATTGAAGGGAGGTAAAACAAAGTAGTTGAACAATTAGAGAATTTACTCAAGCTCACTCATGTGACTATTCAGCTAGCAGTTTCAAGTGCCTCCAAAACAAAGAACAATGAAACTACGGACCAGTTCCCACATCGTGTTATTATGTGTCCTTAGTTGAGTTGTAACTTTGTAATAGTTCCTTAAATTGTAATTCCTATCTAGATTATTTAGAAGAACTTTGTAGGAACATCTTTGTATACCATAAACCTGTGTGTTTAAGTCTTGGCTAGAGTTAGTCAAGTTTTAAAGTCTTTGTAATAGAGTTATTGCTAAGTGGTTTGTAATAGGTGTATTACAAGTTAGTAAGGGATTAAGAGTTTAATTCCTAGGTTGCATAAGTTATAATCTGAAAGTTACTCAGTAGTGAAGTTGAAATCCTACAAGGGTAGGTTGTGGTTTTTAATCCCATTGAGCTGGGAATTTTTCACGTAAAATTCCGCTTGTCATTTAACTTCTGTTCTATGTGTGTGTACTATCGAACATCATAGTGAACCTAGTTCTCTATAGAAGGTGGTGGACCCATACATTCTGTCAATATGTGTCATGAGGTATGTTGTGGGCATCAGATTCATGGAATTATGGCTATTGTTGTTAGGGATGTTATTATGGTAATGTGAATCATGCGGTGTATGGTCTGAATTCAGAACATGTATACAATTATGTTTTTGTGCAGTGTGTAGTGACTATTACGATGTTCGTATGTTGAGAGCATGCCGATGGAGAATTCCAAATGTTGGAATTTGGCTCTAAGGTTTATTTGACTGAATAAAAGGGAGGATCTTCAAACTGGCTTACGCTAACGCGCCCAACTGGGCTGTGGTAGCATGAGTAGGTGCACGAGATGTTGATTAATGATTTCGGCAAATTCTGGAGCAGTTCTTAGCACGTTCGACGAACGTATGTTTAAGTGGGACAGCCCTAGCACGTCATTCGGCGGTTTGAGGCCTTTAATAGCTTCACCTAAGGTATTATGACTTGTACGTGTGGTCAAAATTGAATTTCGGGAAATTCGGAGTTGAATTGGACATTCTAATTTCGGTACCTTTAAGTTGAAGGAATTGACTAAGGTTTGATTTTTGAGTAAACGACCTCTGAATCAAGATTTGAAGGTTCCATCAGGTTTATATGATGATTTTGGACTTGGGCGTATGCCCGTATCGAGTTTTTGTTGTCCCGCGAGCTTTTCAGCGCCTATTGTGGAAAGTTGGAATTTTGAAAGGATTTCATGAATTCGGGTTGAAGTGTATTTTAAAGTTATCGATGTCCGTTTGGAATTTCGGGCCTGGGCATAGCTCCGCATGGTTATTATGGTCTTAGGAGCGCTTCCGGATGTAGATTTGGAGGCCCGTAGGTCATTTCGGATTCATTTGGCGAAAGTTGGAAAATGGAAGGTTTTTGGGATGTTTGACCGGAAGTGGAATTTTTGATATCGGGGTCGGATTCTGAACAGGAAGGTTGAATAGGTCTGTAATGTCAATTATGACTTGTGTGTAAAATTTGAGGATAATCGCACTTGATTTGATATGCTTCGGCGTCGAATGTAGAAGTTTGAAGTGCTAAGGATCACTAAGCCTGAATTAGGTTGAGATTCACGGTTTTGGCAATGTTTGATGTGATTTGAGGCCTCGAGTAGGTCCGTGTTATGTTATGGGACTTGTTTGTGTTATTGGACGGAGCCCCGAGGTCCTCGGGTGTGATTTGGAGTGGTTTCAAACCATTTTTCCTTGTTTTGCAATGGCTGATGCTGGTGTCTGGTGGTGACCTTCGCGAAGAAGGATCTTTGGACATCTGGGATTTTGCCAATCACGAACGCGATGAAGGGGGCGCGAACGCGGAGCTGAGGTTGTGGAAGCCTTCACAAACGCGGGTAGGCGCACGCGAACACGAAGAGGTAAGGAGTCGGGGCCTGCCAGGCGTTTAGCTTTCGCGAACGAGGCTTGGGGGTCACCAGGTTCACGAACGCGGCCATTGGGTTGTGAATACGTAAAGTAAAATGTGGAGACAGTGTGTTTAGCCTTCGCAATCGCGAGGTCAATCCTGCGATCATGAAGAAGAGCGGGCCTAGGCAGATCCCCTCTCATTTTTCACTTGGTTGAGCAATTTTTGGAGCTTTTAAAGAGTATATTTCCATCATCTATTTCAAGGTAAGTGATTCCCACCTATTGCAAGTTAAATACTTGGATTATATATATATTTTAACATGGAAATTCATGGAATGTTAGTGAAAATTGGGGATTTTGGTAGAAAACCGAGAAATGGATATTTTTGGATTTTTACCACAAATTTGGGCATGGATTGAGAGTAAATTATATATTTGAGTTCGTGATGCCCTGGGTAATATTTATCTTCGAAAATATTCGGAATCCGGGCACGTGGGCCCGAGAGAAATTTTATCGACTTTGCGAGCGGAGTTGGAAATTGTTGTAAATTGGATTATAATGAGTATTAGAGTATATATTTATGGATTTGCACATTTATTGACTAGTTTTGGAGCGATGGACATCAATTTGAATTGTTGGAAAGGTTTTGGAGCCTGTTATGGAACTTCAGAGAGAGGTAAGTCTCATTTCTAACCTTGTAAGAGGGAATTAACCCCATATGTGAATCAATTATTATGTGCCCCTATTTGTGGGAGCTGTGTACGCACGAGGTAACGAGATTCCGTACATAGCTACTAATAGTGCTTATGTCCGGGTAGTCTAGGACCCAAATCATGTTATACTTGCGATGTTTGCACCGTACATGTTAATTTACTTGCTTAAATCATATTGAAAGTTGACAAAGGAATCGTAACGGGTGAAACATCATTTATTTGACCGTTAATGGGAATTGGTAATTCGTTGAATATTTGCCCCTTAACAAAACTCGAATTGGTTGTTTAAATGTATTTTTTGTTTTTTTGGAGGGGGTCGAACGCCTCGGTAGCATATAGGTGCATCTATTGTTCGTGTCCCAGATATATGTAGTCTTTTACTGTATTTCCTAGTTGATGCTCATACACTAGTGACATCTGATTTTAGGGGTGCTTATGGATTGTTCAATATTGTTGTTGTGAAAATATTGCCATTTAATTTTAAATTTTATCTCTTACTATTTAATTGAAGGAAATTATGATTTCAAAAATACTAAAATGAGTAATGGAGTTAATCATTTAATAGTTGGATTGTCTGATATCACTGTTAGGCGCCATCACGACCTTTAATGGATTTTGGGTCGTGACATTCTAAAATTGTTGAAGACAACCATAAATGGCTCTATCTCAATTGATAGGGTCACTCTCCCAAACCCCATTCGTCTATAAACACGAGGATAAAAAGTAGACTAGTGTTTCTCCATAACAAGTTTCAAAATTTCAAAAATAGAAAACAAACGCGTCACCAACGGGTTGGTGGGATGAATAACTTCTCTTTGAACTTAATAAAAAATTTTGTATCTGGGTCTAGAAAATAAGAAGTTCTACTACCTCTTCAATGAGTGCTATACGGTGCGAACCCGAATAATCGGGTAAGTAAATTCTGAACATGGTTAAGCGAACAAAATTGAAAAAATTAGAAAAAAAATGAGGTGCCCTCATGGCCACTTTGCAACTCTATTAAGGTTCATCTCAAGCTATTTTCACAGATAAATGCCAATTAAGAATTGCTAGAAAACTAAATATGATTGGTGGAGCTTTCCTGCACTATCCGGTATCATGTGAAAATAGAAGGGTGGAAAAATATGTTCTTAAGATCCAAGAACCTAAATAGATACTTTTAAAATCTTCAGAACTTCACAATCACTTGTTAGTATCATGTTCCCAGCTCAAGTATTTCAAATTCATCAAAGTACCACTCTTAGTGCCAATTGCCAAATGAATAAATGCAAGTATTTATTTTTTATACACATGCTTATTACTTAATGACGGTTAAGTGATATATAATTCTCACTTTTTTTATTGCTATTTAATGAGTCCGTATTTGTGCGTTTCAATTCACTCTTTTAATGAGTCCTATTTGTGCATATTACCTAGACTATCTCTTATGTCTCATTTCTTTGTTGCAAGAACCACCAGTTCTGTACTATATTGTCATTTTTA